CTGGATGTGTTGTGTTGTCTTTGTGCTGCATCAATTCAGCAGCCCATCTTGTATAATCTATCTTTCCAACCTAAGCCCAATGGGACAAACGTTATTCTAATTCCTCTTGTTGAAATGTCGAATAATATAACACCTCATTTAATTGATCACTAATAATAATTTTGTGGAACAATACAGAAAGCAAATCATAGACTTACTATTTGTTATAATTACTTTCAACATTATCATATTTATTAATATTGCTTCAATAGCAATGATCAAAAGAAAGAGAAATTGTTGTTAGGAAAGAGAAATTTTTCAGATTTTGAAATATGTCTTGATTAAGAATTTCCTGACAGAGAAATGCATTGTTCCGCTTATAATGTTTTGCTTCTGACAGGATTCTAATTTTAGATGGAATCGTTATTTTATATATTCTGTCTGGCAGTGGCCATTATTAATTGCCCAAGTAAAGGTAACACTGTTATATTTATAAAAAGATGCAAAAAGTAACATTTAAAATACATAGCAACCTTCTGTAAAGTACTTAGTGATTACTTTTTACCAAAGTTTCTAGGAATGATCAAGAAAAGTTTTCATGGAAAATATTTCATAATGATTCAGAGGCAAGATCTGGAAACTGTCCACATTTTAGCAAATTACATCTGATAGAAATCAACATTGTTCTCATTTTAGTTTTAATAAACACTATTGTGTTTATTCCTGATAAAAAAATAAAATATATAACCAAAAATAAAAATAATTCAAATAAAAATAATTAAAATAAGGCATTTTCATTTTCCTTTAAAACCCTTATCTCTTTCTTTCTCTCCTTCTCTCTCAAATTCTCTCCATATAAATAGAATAAAATAAAATATAAAAATAAAATATATAAACACAAATAAAAAAAGTAAAATTATAATAAGATATTTGCATTTTCCTTTAAAACCCTTATCTCTTTCTCTGTCTCTCTCTCTCTCTCTCTTTCTCTCTCTAAACTTATTTTTCTATATTTCTCTCAACCTAAAAGAAGGAAACCCTCAAATAAAAAGTAAAAGAAGAAAAGACTGAGCCAAGACAAAAACACCCAACATTTGCAGGAGCAGAGTTGACTTTAATTTGTAACTGAAAAATACCTAAAATCTGGTATAAATTCCTAAAATCACATATAACTTCCGTTATAAAAAAAAATGAAAACGAAAGGAATGCTGGAAAATAAAATCATTTAGCCAATCAAAAAAATTGACATAAAGAGACATCTGATTTAGCTGAATCCATGTTCACACCAAATTCTTGGGCCTATTCTAAAGTTAAGCCAGATGGGATGCAGAGAGATGGACCAGAACAAAACGTGGAGAGAAGAAAACAAAAGAATGTTGTTCATGATGACGGTCGTCTTTGAGTATAGAATCCAGAGGTTAGCAGTGAATATTTCAAAGACAGTAGGAAAGCGTTGTTCAGGTTAGCAGTGGATATTTTGGTAAAAGTAGCAGAGCGTAGTTCATCCTTCTGTTTCTCTTCGCCTGACAAGCTGGAACTGGACATTCAGGTAGAGTGAACAAAATGGCTGCCTTTATACATGACGGATTGAATATTCTACATTTTCTGATAGGTTAACCTTCTATTGGTGGACTATAAAGTGAGTCAAGTCATTTGGGCTAGCTCACTAGTTACATACATATACACAAAAATTGTAACAAAGAATGCATCCATGAGTGACACATGAAGAAGCAGTTAAGAGGTCATCGGCTACAGGCATTTCTGCCAGTAGACTGACACTGACTTAATTTCTTGCATTACTGCTCCCCCTATCTTGGTCGTACTTCAAAAGGACAACAAAGCGATATTTCTCCTGACTTCTATCAATATCTGACTGATCAACAAACTTTTTGCCATGGCTGAATATAACAGAACTTACACATCATTTTAAAGTCAGTTTTACTCCCAAATTTTCCAATAAAATAATTATCCTACACTGATCCACACTGGCAACCGTCAGATATGAATCCATATGACACTCTATTGATGCAAGAATTAAATGATAATGAATTGAATATCACATTATATTTTGATGAATCAAAAGTTTAGATCTTTCATTTAGATATTTTGATTATGTTGGCTATATCTTGATTTTATAATGTTAATTATTCTTAGGTTTTGATTTGGTTGTTATGGATTTCAACGTGTCTACAAGGAATTTCTCACATAAAACTTTGCCAGATCTTTTTGAATCGTTAGATAATTCACAGTGTTTTCTATATAAAAACTATCTTTTTTGGATGTGAGTTGCATTTTTACCCTACTTAAAATAAAATGTCCTAATAAATGGAAAACTTTTTTTATTTTCTTCTAATTTCAATGTTCAAATAATTTCTGACAAATACACACGGATATAATTATATCTTTTTAAAAATCATCTTTTTAAAATGTTCTAATAAATGGAAAACCTTTTTATTTTCTTCTAATTTCAATGTTCACATAATTTCTGACAAATAAAATACACACGGATATAATTATATCTTTTTAAAAGTCATCTTTTTAAAATGTTCTAATAAATAGAAAACCTTTTTTTATTTTCTTCTAATTTCAATGTTCAAATAAATTCTCACAAATAAAATACCTACGTATATGATTTTTCTTAATCACAAGGAAAATAAAAGCAATAATTTTGAATGAAGTTTACAAAAACTAAAGTCTCCTGATGTGATATCATATATATGCTGATTGCAAAATGATTTTTTGAACTAAACCCATTAATTAAGTAAACCTATTAATTAAGTATACCCATTAATTAAATCCATTCATTCTTTCTTGCATGCATCTCTTTCCTATTATTTTCCCTTTAATTTTCCCTTTAATAGGCAAAACTTAATACTAAATATTTAATCACTCTTTTATTTGAATATTACAAGTTTTTCAAGACATCAAGTTTTACATTTCAATGCTGTATTTTTAGATTGGCTCAGAATGAGATAATCAGTAGATCTGAGTGCAAATTCCAGTTGGATTCATTACATTCACTTACATGCAAATAACCTTAGAAAAAGGTATGAAGCTTTCTCTTCTCTTTCTCCCCAATTATGGGTTAAATAGCAGGATAGACTGGGTTTTATAGCCTTGGTTGGCAACCAGTCCACTGCAGAAAGAAATAAGCTACTTTTGGAAAATCTTCTGCCTCGTGTGTGTTGAATCAAAAGAGACATGATCACCCAAGCATGTATTATGTATGGCACTTAACTGACTGATTTCTAGTTTTTGATGTTACTTTTGAAATGTGATGTTTAACAAGTCATTCTTGTAAACCAAATAACAAAGGAGACTGTTTCTTATAGTAGTCCAACTTTTGTGACTTTGGGCTTAATATATCAGTAAATAATAATCCAGGTTTGTTTTTTGTAATTTCTCACAAGTATGAAGTCATTCTCTGATTATGTACTAAGGAAACACTACAAAGACTGATTTTCATGGTAGCAAAAGTAGTAAACACATTAGGAGAATACAACCCAGTGAATTTTAATAAGAGGCACATTTGATTTTTAATAAGGGTAATTTTAAAATTATTTCTTCAGTATAATTTAATTTAGGACATGTAAAAAAACTATATAGCCTGCCATATTGAAAATGCTTGCTGATGTGTGCATTTAATTATACAATGGAAAAACAAAGTTTATAATATTTTATGGTTGACTGAACCATATATAAAAGTTTGAAATTTTCCTGAAAAGACAGGATTTATTTTCGAAATTTTTGATATTGGCGATTTTATAATTTGTTCTCAAATTTTGTAGATATTTTGTCATTTCTATTCAGTTTTTGAGTACTTTATATATTTTTTATTTATGCATTTTTTTTTATTCATTTTTTTCCAATCAATTTTATTTTTAGATTATTTATTTTAATTATAGTGCAATTCAGCCAGAGAGGTTTACTTTTGAAAGTTTTGCATGACTAAATTGTAAAGTTTTCTAATTTCAAATTCTTTGACTACTTTAAAAATAAACCGCATTAACTTGGGCTGCTTATGAAGAAAAAACTTAATTCAAAATGTAATCTTTTTAAATGTAAATCAATATGCTGCTTGTTTCCCAAATGGACAACACAGGTTGGAATATGAGCCTCACAAATATTGGTTAAATACAGTATCAGTGTTCAGTTAGAGAAACAAAAGAAAATCATTTCTTATGAACAGCTCTAACCAATACAAGTAAATAAAACGATTTACAAGTAGAAATTAAGTCAGGTAGATGAGGCTCATTGCCATAATTGCGGAAGAAATAAATAACTACAAATTAATTAAAAATATTACTGTGAAATTACTCTGGACTGATTTAAAATAAAAAAAATCTAATTGCCACAGTCAAGAGGTCTTTAAGTCACAACCGTCAGAACTTCATTATTAAAACAAAGGAATTATTAAATATGTTAATCTGAAAAGAGGTATCTGTATTAACCAAGTTTATTTAAATGGCATTCCACTAAAAAGATTTCACATGAAGTTGCATGCACATAGCAGGAAAGGAAATGATATAGCATAAAAATGCCAATATATATTCATTTTCTAGAAAAGTTAGTTTTCACAAAACACTAGAGAAAAGTTTTATTTTTTTAACTTTGTAGAATACATAATCAGATTGAAATTACTTATATCAGTTTTATACCAGTATCCTTGACAAAGGCATGAATTTATTCTCTCTGCATAGTATCTGATTAATAAAAGAATTCTTAGTTTGTACACTTTTAATCCACTTTTATGTTTGGACTTAAATGTTTGCATTTATTACTTAATGCACATAGTAAGAATTCAAATTTTACCCTTTTTTACACCAAAGTTCAGCCAATACAAAAAGCAAATGAGCTCTTTAAGCTAGAGGTTTGCTATTAAGATGGTTATGACAAATGAAATGTGAGATATGAATAAAAATTTATAGAATGGATTGTGCAAAACATAGTAGTAAAAAGAAAAACAACAAAAAGAACGAGATCAAAAGACCAAACAATTATTGCAAATGAAAAATATTCATCTAAAAATTGTTGACAAGAATGAGATAAATAGACATGAAGAGACTGGGATAGATAGATAGATAGATAGATAGATAGATATGAAGAGACTGAGATGAATGGATAGATAGATAAATAGATCTGAAAAGGCTAAGATAGATAGATAGATAGATAGATAGATAGATAGATAGATAGATAGATATGAAGATACTGAGATGAATGGATAGATAGATAAATAGATCTGAAAAGACTAAGACAGACAGATAGATAGATAGATAGATAGATAGATAGATAGATAGATAGATAGATAGATAGATAGATATGAAGAGGCTGAGATGAATGGATAGATAGATAAATAGATCTGAAAAGACTAAGATAGATAGATAGATAGATAGATAGATATGAAGAGACTGAGATGAATGGATAGATAGATAAATTGATCTGAAAAGACTAAGACAGATAGATAGATAGATAGATAGATAGATAGATAGATAGATAGATAGATAGATAGATAGATATGAAGAGGCTGAGATGAATGGATAGATAGATAAATAGATCTGAAAAGACTAAGATAGATAGATAGATAGATAGATAGATAGATAGATAGATATGAAGAGACTGAGATGAATGGATAGATAGATAAATAGATCTGAAAAGACTAAGACAGACAGATAGATAGATAGATAGATAGATAGATAGATAGATAGATAGATAGATATGAAGAGGCTGAGATGAATGGTTAGATAGATAAATAGATCTGAAAAGACTAAGATAGATAGATAGATAGATAGATAGACAGATATGAAGAGACAGAGATGAATGGATAGTTAGATAAATAGATCTGAAAAGACTGATAGATAGATAGATATGATGACATAAATGGATAGATCTGAAAAGACTGAGATAGATAGATAGATAGATAGATAGATAGATAGATAGATAGATAGATATGAAGAGACAGAGATGAATGGATAGATAGATAAATAGATCTGAAAAGACTGATAGATAGATAGATAGATATGATGACATAAATGGATAGATCTGAAAAGACTGAGATAGATAGATAGATAGATAGATAGATAGATAGATAGATAGATAGATAGATAGATATGAAGAGACTGAGATGAATGGATAGATAGATAAATAGATCTGAAAAGACTAAGATAGATAGATAGATAGATAGATAGATAGATAGATAGATAGATAGATAGATAGATAGATATGAAGAGACAGAGATGAGTGGATAGATAGATAAATAGATCTGAAAAGACTGATAGATAGATAGATAGATAGATAGATAGATAGATAGATAGATAGATAGATAGATATGATGAAAATGACATTGATAGATAAAGAGAGAGAGGGAAATCAGTCTGTTTACATCTATCTATCTAAGTCTGTTTATATCTTGCTATCTATCTGATAGATATGAAGAGAATAACATAGGTAGATAGATAGATAGATATGAACTGACTGAGATGAATAGATAGATAATTAAATAGATATGAAGAGACTGATATAGATTAATAGATAGACAGATATGAAGAGAATGACATAGATAAATAGAGATAGATAGCAAGATTTGAACAGACTAAGATAGATAGATAGATAGATAGATAGATAGATAGACAGACAGACAGATAGATATGAACAGACTGAGATAGTCTGCAAAATCAACAAAAAGGAAGAGATCAATATTTGAAACCAATAATCTTGGAATTATAATGTCTTATGTCCAAATTATGGATCCAAACACTATCCACTTTTATTTCCTCTTGTATCATTCTAAACATTTTAACCCTTTGAACCTTGACCCCCTGATGAGTACTGTATATGCACTTTCAAACAGCATCTGGAATACTGACTGCTTGGGTTCAAAGGGTTAAATATTTCTATCTTCGTTCCACTCTTTTTCTCAATAGGGAAGAAATATGATTTTACCTGCTGTAGTTTTTATTACTTCTCGTGTATCTTTTTTTTATTTAATTACTCTGATATAAATGCATCAAATAAAATCTCCAACCAAAATAAGTGCAATTATTTCCAATAAAAACAGATATTATGAGTTGAAATTCACATATTATATTTATCATATAAATGTCAGTCTACACTGAAAATTTTTCCAGTGTCTTTTGGTTCATACTGTTTTTATTGCAAAAACAGTGACTTGCATAGAGGGTGATGCACTTTCACAAAGTGTGTCAGGTATTTAGAACACTTCTTTACAGCAAAAAAATAGAAGACAACCCAATGTAATGTTATATGGCAGGTGCCAAATTTTATCATTTTTATTTCTCTTTTCAGCCATATTGTGAGCATTAATATGGCAGCTTCCAATCTGATACAAGAAATAAAAAAAGACCTGATACAATATATGTAACACTTGTTGGCAATCCCAAAGGCATTAGTAATGGTAATGTTAATGGTAATATTAGCTGTTTCATTATAAGGAAACATTCAGTATTTATTGGTTGAGCAGCCACTGCTGCTGTCGGTTTAAATTTATAAAAACTTTCTATTAAAACAATTTTTCAGAAAAATGGATTTCTCAGGTCCACTGTTATTGCTCTTTGAATTATTGATGGGAATTTCCTTCCTAACCTTTTGTTTGAAGTACTGTGGAATGTCAACATCTGGATTATGTCATTATTTTCTCTTTGAGTTACATGCAACTAAAACCCAGAAATTTTACGAGGGCCATCACTTAACACCACAAAATATTAGGATACATTATCAGATATATGGTGCACAATGACATCAGATATAAGTTCAAGTTGATGAGGAGAGAATAGTACATGTCCAGTAAGACCTGGTAGATGTTTAAGTCCCTGTGATTGAGGTGCTTCTTAAATAAAGGTAAACCATCCCAAAGAAACTGGCATAGACTGATTCTTCTATGATGAGATATACTTTGACCAGGACCAGAAGTGGAGAGAAGGAAGGTCAGGTGGCTCTACACAGACCTAATCCAGAGAGATCAGGGAGATGAACCCTAAGTTCACATCACCTATGCTGGTCTTGTGGGTCATGAGCAATGTGGGTCAAGTCATGCTGCCTTGCCTCTTCCAATAGGGACTAAGGACAAAGTGTAATTTGAGGTGATAGATATGTTAGTGAAGACATGGATTGAGAGGCGCTCATGGTCATGCCACTCACAAAATTTAGCCTCCTAGCTCTGCTGATTTGAATCATCTGGACAACTATACTTTGGTTACAACTGAGGTGGAAACCAATCAGCAGTCCAAACATACATAAGGCAAATTCAAGGTTGTAACTATGAAAATGATAGCCAATCAGAACTGATCTGTGCATTCAGTCCTTTATGAGACCATATCAAGGTCATCCTTGAGGCTGATTTGATTGGATAAACACACACACACACACACACAGAAACAAACAAATACACATTTATACACATATATATTAATTTCTATTCCTCCCAAAGGATAATGATGATTCTTTTCAAGGGATGGCATGTGTGTAGGTGTAGATTCCTTGATTAGGAAGTTGCACAGGTAGTGACTCACTCGTCTCAATATCTCCTCTGCAATTCTGCCACATAAGACGTAGTGCAGAAAAGCTGCCAGAGCATCATTCGCCTGTGGCTATCTAGACAAAGCCCTGATATAAGAAACGCTTTTTCACATTTCATGACATGTGTATGCTCAACTGGTTTAAATTAAGAATTTTCTCCAAGACTAGCTGCCAAACAAGGCTAGAGAGCTCAGGCTGCTCTCTTTTTTGCCTGGGTAAGAAGAGATGGATTCATGCCTTTCTCAAGGGCATGGTTGGAAGTGAATGTGTCAGAGGCAGACAGAATTTGAACTTTGTTAATAAGCATTAAGCTACCTGCACATCTCTTCACACACACACACACACACCCATATATATTATTTGAAATTTGCTATATTTGTAGGGGAAGAGTGCTCAATATAAGAGATGAAGAATTTCCTTCAATGCAGTCTTCTCAGCTTTATATTTGATGCATGTGTATGCAAGGAATCATCTGATAATGAACTGTTCACTCCAACATCCACTGTAAAATATATATGATTGTGCCTTATCATCATAGAGGGTTTGTATCTCCAGCTGAAGCTCTCTGGGGTTCCATATCCTGCTGGGCCAAGCATGAGAGACCAGACTGAATGTGACCAACCCTTGAACACCCTAACAGCAGAATAAGCCAAACCAAACATTGACAGACCAAACATCCGACAGCCCAATGCAACTAGATTTGCCAGATCATACCTGTCTTAATTCCCTTTGAGCTGTGAGGTGCTTCTAGGCAAATGTGTAGGCTTCTCTGTCACACAGAGTTGTCAACCAAATTCAAATTCATGACAGCCTTCTCTTTAATTCACAGCCATCTTCGGCACTGCCACCAGGGAAATAGGAATAGGGAGAAGGGAGAGAGAATGACAATCTGGATGCTCAGATGCAAATGGGTGCCAATGAATGTAGCTCTTGCTGGGAATTAAAGGAAATGAGGAAAGGGAAAGTTACACACACACGCACACATTTATATAAGTATATAATAGACTGGTGAAAGAATTTACAGAAATAAAAAAAGAAAAATAATAATAATATTGATAATAGGAAAAATAATAGTTATTGTATATTAGTAGGTCTTTTGACCAAATGGAAGCATGTATGAGGAAGATTTTAAAGGGATAAGTGTGTTATATTACCAAAGTGATTTTCATGAATTTAGGCTTACTCAAAGAATACAGTTTCCACAGAAAGCAGTCTACAAACCATCTAAAAATCATAATCATGGCAAACAATTAGCACAAGACTATGAGATCTCTTTGGTAATATAACATATGGAAAAAAAGCCAAAAAAATAAGAGACAAATTCTCCAGAAAAGAAAATTTTATATTTTTTATTTTTAGGACACAGGCATGTTTGAAATTCTGATTTTTAAAATCTTTCTCATCATGTTTTCATTTGGTTGAAATTATTAGTTATTATTATTATTATTGGTGTTGTTTTTATCTCTCTAATTTCTTCCACCAGCCTATTATATCTACATATTATAAGAAGCACACATGGACAATCTTTCTATACCATATATATATATATATATATATATATATATATATATTGTTGGGCCAAAAGTTCAGTCGAGAGTGCTCCACAGGAGCTAGCTTAAATACTTATTGAACTATTTAGTTCATGCCATGTTAACTGATAAACTCCTACAACAAAAAAAAATTCTTAAATTGCCGTATTAGTAAAAAATGCACTCACTTAAATTTTCAAGAATTCAACTTTAGCGTTGTGACTGCACGCTCCAAAAGTTTGTATCCGTTATCAATAACACATTTAAAAAAAAAACATATTTCAATTTGGATTATATTTTTTCATCTTGGATGCTACCTGAATTTTACCAAAAACAAAATAGTTTCCATGCCTGATGATGATTGGTAGAACCATCGATAGTACATGCATATTGAAGGAAGACCTAATACAGTTTATAATTTTAAAAACCAGGGACCATAACATTCATTGAGTGATTAGTAGGTTAATGCATCTTTAATTTTTGTTAGCGAAGTGATTTCACCATTTTATATCATTAACTTTACTATTACTTTTTGTATGAATGATTCATTTTAATATATATATATATATATATATAGATATAGATATAGATATAGATATATATATATAGACAGTGTGCACATAGGTAAGAAAAATGGATGGGGAGTATCAGTGTCATGCATCAATGCAATCTTTTGGTCTGACAAATGCACTGAGATGGCTCATTATATGGTCTTGATTCCTATGTCCATACAGATGATATCTATAAATACTCTACCTCTGATAATGAGCACTTGTCTCTTATGAATATCGCAAATTTCAAACAATACACACAAGCATATACATATATGCTGGGGTTTCCATGATGAGTAAGTTTTCGCAGAGTGGAGTCGCTAGCATTATTCCCAGGTAGTTTTGAAGTCAAAGTTGTCTTTCTTCTAGAGTGATTGCCCATCAAGTCTAGAGAACACACTCTTCCCTGATATTTGACCTATAGTTAGTGAGAGAAGAGATAGTGTCAGATCTTTCCTAATGGTATTTTTTCAAAAGTCAATGCAACCACCTTAGCTGTAATTTAAATTCCTTACATCAATCTCACTTTTTGCATCAATAACCACTAAGTTCTATGCACATCCACTATAGAAATACTCAGGTATGTATATTTAATTTACTGTGGAAATGCGAGAGAAATCATTAAAATATACCTGTTAATCCAGGTGTACAGAAATTGTAAGTGATTAAAAGATGGATCTAAAGGTGAAACAAATATTGAAATTAGGAATTTCACTTTGAAATTAATCTATCTTTAATCCTGGAATTTACTAATTAAGAAAATGAAATCATTACATCTTCTTCAGGTTCAATTGAACCATAAGTAAATGTAGACAGTAAGATTAGAAACAGAAAAACATATTCTTACAAGGCAGCACATGTGATATAGTGTGCCCAAATCAGCCCCAGAAAGGCAGTGTGAAGGAGAACAGTCTACCTCGGTAGATTAAATAACTGGTTTAGTTCATAATTCCTTGCAAGTTACCCAGATTGATATACATCTGAGTAAGGCTGAAGGGCACAACGGCTGAAATGATAGTCCGAATATAAATTAGTGTAAATAGAAAGATATTTCAACCAGCATAGAAAACAGTGGCAAGTTGAAATGGTGGACAATGATTGGACACTTGGCAAACAGTCATTTTTTTCAGTGGTGGATAAATTCTCATTGAATCAATTTTCAAGCAGTGGATATATATATGTGGATCTTGCCTAATCAAGAATTTTGTTCAGATTGCCTGGAGCTTATGATCAAATAGAGGCAGATTTTCTGTTATGGTGTGGGAAGCCATTTGGTGTATTGATTATTCCAAGCTTCTCAATTGTGCAGAAAATACCAGTTCATAAATTTACATAACTCTTCCCCAGGGAGGAATACTCGTAAATATTCCCTACCCCTTATTTGGATAAAAACAGTACATTTTCATAGACAGCTCTGTGCAAAAGACTTGATAATGATAAATCTTCTAAATCATTGACTTTCATGATTTTAATCAGTTTGTTTATATTTTTAGCATAATTCTTATCATTGTGGAAAATTAAACCAGGAGGCCAAATTCAGTTGTAGGCAAATCTGTTGCATTCATTTTGCACCAATACTCTAGGGAAGAACATGAATTCATTGCATCTCCTACCATATGTGGGCATAATCATAGAGCAAACTGGGTTATCTAGCCTGACTAGGGAAACCAATCATAAGGAAGAACAACACTGAATTCAGAATAACTATGGAAGAATTAATGAAAACCACTACACTATTTTTTCCTTTATAAGACTGAGGTGTCTTTTATAAAAAAAAAAAAAAAAATCTGACCCTAAAACTCTGCAGTTGACTACACAGTCACTGGTCAGAACTAATTCTATCCATCCTGGATAAAATCTGAAACAATACAATAATATGGAGTGGAATCATACTGACCATATCTGGACCATTTTAGAATATAAAAAAAACCCAGAAAACATTCGACAATGAAAGATTTGCTTCAGGTTTGATATGAAATCTGGATGGATGCAGAATAAAATTAAGATTTTGTAGATTAAAAGAATTGTGAAATACCAAGTAATATTTTCAAAAGGAAAAAAGTTAAAGAAAAAATTAAATTTATTTTTATAAGGTAAACAAGAATTACAATTTAAAATTTATGTTGCATAATTTCTTGAAAACCACTTTCTTCCAAGTATCAATAATTTCTTGACAACTTCATTTTTCATCTCAAGTCTTTTTAGCTGTACTTTTGTACCTTTGACAATCTGTGGATATTCTTTAAGATGCTTCATCTTGCAGAAATTCTTCTCTACATTTGCATTTGTCTTCATTAAACTGAAGTAAATCTGTAATGCAAATTCAACACGAGGGAATGAATGTATTGCTTACTTGTGGTGAATAAAGAAAACAGCAACGAGAAATTCAAGCTCTCCCAACTGGTATTCCAACCTCGAGTCGTTCCTTCTTGAGTTCTGTGACCATAGGACTGTGCCCCCGGGAGCCACGACTACTCTCACCAAGCCGCTACCAACTGGAGCATTAGAAGCCGGTTCAAGCGAAGATAGAACACAGATAACTCAGTTGAGTTCCGCCATGGAATATGTGAGCGAGCGGCGCTTAGTTGAGTCTGATTTGGAATCTCTTCGTCACCGAGGCCCATTTGGAACAGTTGGTATGGTGTTCGCATGACAACCCAACTTGTCAGGGTTCGATACTCGGTAGTGGATGCGCACTGCTGATGAGTCCCAAATATAGGACGAAACGGCCGTCCAGTGCTTCCTGCATTTATATATATATATATATATATATATATATCTATATGTGATATAATAGAATATACATACGCCTCAGTTCCCCCTTACTGGAATATGATTGGCTGGTGTCTGTCATAAATACAGACGGACGTGTAGGTACGACAGAGTTTAAGTCTATGATGACGCCCATTGGACTACGCCATTGGCTATCCTATTGGTCTACACCTATTACCTGTGACTAAGATAAGTACCAGTTGATT